CGGGGTCAGGGTTTTCTAACCGGGGAAGGGCACACGTGCCCGGGCAGGGGGCTCGCCCTGAGGAGCCGGCCGCTGCCCCGGCACGCACCCGCGCCCTCACCGCAGGGTCCCCCGGCCTGACGAAGCAAACCGGGGGAGAAGCTGTAAGAGATTCGAGCCAGTGTCAGACAGGAGCCGGGCTTGCCCTTCCATTGCTTTCCCTCCGTGCCGAGAGCGCCTGAGCGGTGCCGTCACGCACGGCGCGGCCGGAGCCGCGGCTACGGGCAGCTGGTTCTCTCGGGAGTCGCTGCCCTTGTCTGCCTTCTCCCGACACTGCTGCGTCGCACAGGAGAGCCAGAGGCGCTCCTCTTCCCCTCCTTCCCTCAAATTCTGCTCCCTCGCCCTCTGTTTTGTGGAGGAGCTCCACAACACAGACTCGCCGTGAGCTGCCCGCTGCAGATCGCGGGTACGGCTGCGGCAGCCTCGGTGCGCGGCCGTACCGGCGAGGCGGCCGTCCCTGGCTGCCCCCGCCCGTGAAGGCCTTCTCCGGCGCTTTCCGGGACCGGCCAGGCCTCCAGACAGTGCCCAACCTCCCGCAGCTGAGAACACAGCCCGACGCTGTGGTTTTCCACCGCTCCGGCAGGGCTCCGCTGCGCTCACTTCGGCGGGTCCTGCTCCTTCCCCTTAAAGCCGCCGTCATGAGGCCTTTCTGTGCCTCGCTCTGCTCCCCAGATGCCTCCGCTCTCCCCTTGTGGGAAAAAGCCAGACAAATCCAACGCGGCACAAACCACCCCCCCCACCCCAGCCCCTCTTTAAAGCTGCCGATTTTTATTGATTTTTTTTTTTTAAGGGAGGAAGGAAGATAACCTCCTCACCTTCCTCGAGGGGAATGGGCTACTGAAGGGCTATTAAGGCAGAAGGATGCCCACATGGTAAGGTATTGTGTAAGCAGAAGGCCCCCGGTCCTTCCCGAAGGACACAGTTCCCCCGGCCGTGGTCGGGTGGCCGCATTTCCCGAGGTGGCGTGGGGAAGGTCTGAGGGGCGGACGTGGCGGGGCGGCCGGAGGGACTGTCGCAGCTGCCTTGTCTTCCCCGCCCCTAGCTCCTGCCATGCGGCTCAAAGCCGCGAAATCCTCCCCCGGAAGCGATGCAGACAGTTTGGTGGGCAAAGAACATCTTGGAGCCGGAGCAGGGGTGAGGGGATAACGCGGTGTGGGTGCCGGAGGAGATTTTGGACGCCTCTGAAGGGCAGGCAGGGAAAAGAGGGAGAAGGCAGGTGGAAGGGTAGCCACAACCCAGCGAGAACCTCGAGTTTTGTCCGGAGGTGACCCATCCTGGAGGGAAGGTGCTGTGAGAAACTGAGAGAGATGAGACCCACAGAGCTTTGAAACGGGGCTTTCATTTTGCACAGAGCTATTCCTACACGTGAGAGTATAAAATCCCACGGAATCTCCGGGGATCATCCCCGTTTTCTGCAAGGAGCCAAACGCAGGATGAAGGGGCCTCCACGCATCACTGGCTGCCATGTGCGTTTCCTTGGGCCACAAAATAGCTGAGCGCAGTAGGTTAGCGAGGGCAGCGTGCCTTAGCAGGCAGAGGGAGAGGCTGCGGGGCCGCCCGCGGTCCTGGCTGACCTCGCTGCCCACGCTCCCCTCCGAGCCTGCCAGCCTGAAAATACCCGGCCTGACCCCCAGCTCTCAGGTGTGCTGACCCCCCCTCGTAGCCTGGGACAAGAGCACATGCACCGGCAAAGGCTTGTGCGAAAGAGAAGGGGGATTTTCACGGAGAGACGTCCTTTCCAGCCGGCACGCGGCTGCAGATAGAGACCACTGCAGATAGACAGAGACCACTGCAGATAGACAGAGACCACTGCAGATAGGTAGAGACCACTGCAGATAGGGACCGCTGCCCCTCAGCAGATCCCGAATCCCTTGGCGACCCCCGGCCCCAGCCCTTCTGCAGGGGCTGGCCTTGTTTTCAATTTTTCCCCTCTTCGGAGGAGAAGGGCCTTTTGAGAATGATTCTGGCACAAGTTGCTGATCCGTCGATGGTGGATGTTGCATTTCTTGTTACAGCCTGCTACCTTATTTTAGGTCGCTAAAAAACACCGGCTTATACATTTGTGTTTGCATAAACTGCCCGCGTTCATTTACTTGTGATTCCGGAGGGGAGGGTGGTTTTACCCTAATTTAATTAACGTAGTACTCGAACATGCACGGAAATACACGCAACATCTCCAAAGCTCACACAAGCTGGCAGGTAGGGAGGGAGTTGTATTGTGTGCGAGTGTGTGATTTCAATTTTAAGAAATTATTTTAACGTCAGGGACGGCAGGACAGAGAATGGAAATATAACTGGATTAAATTTTGTTTAACAAATTTTCATCAGATACAAACGAGCTATGTCTGTACATTTCCTGCATATTTATGAAGTAATGATGGGCAAAATACAATCGGGTCTTGGAGTCACTTTGGTTGTCACAGACCCAAAATCTGAAGAAAACGAAACATAGCAAGAAATCGAGAGACAAAGTTTTCAGGTGTCCTGCTTTTGGGATAAGGACACAACCTCCTGCAAAGCTCTCCTCCCTGGCGTCCAGGGAAGCTCAGCTTCAGTGGTCAGAAATGCCCACTCGGGGTCGGGCTGTGTCGGGGGTTGGGCCGCAGCCCCCGCTCGTTCTCGAGCAGCTTCTCCCGCCTCTCGGAGCCGCTCGTTCTCGAGCAGCTTCTCCCGCCGCTCGGAGCCGGCTGGTTCCCAGCTGGTTCCCGGCTGGTTCCCCGCTGGTGCCCGGCTGGTTCCCGGCTGGTTCCCCGCTGGTGCCCGGCTGGTTCCCGGCTGGTTCCCCGCTGGTGCCCGGCTGGTTCCCGGCTGGTTCCCCGCTGGTGCCCGGCTGGTTCCCGGCTGGTTCCCCGCTGGTGCCCGGCTGGTTCCCGGCTGGTTCCCCGCTGGTGCCCGGCTGGTTCCCGGCTGGCTGGTTCCCTGGCCCGGCGGGGCTCTCAGTCCCTAGGACACCGCGGGGAGCCGTCCCCCGGCCTGGTGAGAGAAGGGCAGGGTTTGTAGAAACTCAGACAACCCGTAGAGAGTGACTACGGGCATTTGACCCGTTCTCAGAGAAAGGAGTAGACCCGCAGACCCGGTTACACTGTCGGGGTTGAGCCCGCCGTCTCGGGTCCGTCCAGAGCCTCTGCAGTGAGGGCACTTCACTGGAACACGCTGGAGGCGTGTGAACAGGTGAAATAAGTGCACAGTAGTGCTAAACCGGAGAAAGGCCGGGGGCTAAGGACGTTCCCGCGGACCAAGTGACCAAGTTTCCCCCGCAAACCCCTCCGCACCCCCGCCGCTGCCGAGAGCCGGGGCTGTCCCGGTTCCTCTCCCCGGCTTGGGGAGTTCCATCTGCTCTGTCGCATCGGTGCCACTGTCATGTCCCTTTCACCCTCTCTTGAATATTCAGATCGAGGTCAGGGGGTTTAGGTGGGGTGTCTTAATGATGTGTTAGCTGCTTGGACAGATTTAATAACTTTGCCGCCAATCGTACTTAGCAACCCTTCTGGAAACCAGACAGTGTCTCATTAGGGCTTTCCTGGTGCAAGCATTTGACTTGAGTGAGCCGTGTTGAGCTAATTTCTATTTGCACTAGGATTTGTTTAATGACATATAGAGGAATAGACAATTCTCGTGGACCAGACCATAAAGCTATAGAGGGCTAGATTTTAAAAGCATATTTTGTTCTAATAAAGAAATCGGGTTTTCATTTGTCACATGTTACATGAATTTAGAGTAAATAAAAAAGAGATAACACTATTGTTCTGCCTTAAATTATAGGAACCAATTGGGAATTCCTAGGCAATTTTCCCCGTTTCTGCCTCTGCTTCTACATCTAGTACCAGTGCCACCTACAGGAATAATTGCATTTTCGAGCTACTTTCAAGTAACCAGAATTCCGCGTTTGAGAGTCCTGGTAGCTCTGTCGTCTTCCTGGACGCACAGCAGCAAGTCTGACTTCGACAGGCATTAGGTTTTTTCGCGGCTTTTGTTTGAGATCACGGACTGATGCAGGTTCTCTCGTGTGTACCACGGCAGTGGGAGTGACGGAGCCCTTCCCGCGGGAGCCCGGGAGCCGCAGCCAGCACAGGTGAGGGGCAGCACCGTCTGCTCACACCGAAGCGTTCCGGGGGTCGCTGGTGATGTCCCGCTCGGAGCCGGGGACGGGGCCAGGCAGAGCTCCCGCTTGTGCCGACAGAGCCCAGCACACCTAAGGATACGGGGAACTTAGGAACTCTCCTGCACGGCGGCTTAAGTCAATGCCGGATTATCTCCTGGCTGTGTTGTTAGGAAAGGCAGCTGTAAGCCAAGCGCGCCCCTGGGGACCTCCCCTGCACACTTCGCTTGACGATTTATAATGACGAATGTCTTACGGTGGAAGAATAATTATCCCCTCCCTCGTCTCTTCGGCGGAGGAGGCCTTGGCTGCCAGGGAGGTTCTCCGTGCAGTCCCAGGGAGCGAGGCCGAAGGGTTCGGGGGGCTGGGGAGAGGGACGGCGAGCACGGGCACGAAGCTGGCTTTGCCGGGGAGGAATCCGTGTCCACTAATCCTTTCCCACGGTTAACCCGATCCCCTAAATATTTGGTTTTGGGACCTAAGGCCGGTGACAATCCTTCCTGACCACGCTTGGAAGTGCATATTTTCTTTTCCTCGATTCTTTATCTTTAAGGGTTTCCAGTTCCTACAGCTTTGCTTGTGCAAAAACACTATCCAAAAATGTGTACACGGATATCTTCATCCTATGCATTAGGCTCTTTGATACCCTGTTGTTCTGGACCTCCGAGATGACCTGGGGTCCTTCTGCAGGTGGGAACATCTGTGTCATGCAGCACACAGAACACAGCTGTCCTTCTGGGCGAAAAAGGGTTGCGTTTTCCTTCAAAACCATGTCTTCCCCTCCAAAACGTTGTCACAAAACTCCGAGTTGTTTGTTTTATTTTTTCCCTCATAGAGTAGGAAAGGAAGAGAAGAGAAGAGAAGAGAAGAGAAGAGAAGAGAAGAGAAGAGAAGAGAAGAGAAGAGAAGAGAAGAGAAGAGAAGACTAGCTTTTTGATCTATGCTGAAAGGTTTGTGGCCATTTTAATGTTTTACTGCCTGTAGAAAACTCGGTCATTACCGCCCTGAGGGTTTTTTCGTTGAGATAATAAAACGGGAACAACGCCCCCCACACATGCCCCCAACAACAACAACAAAAGGATACGAGAAAAGAGAACCGAACTACCCTTACTCCCTGTCCCATCCCCTCCTGCCTTGCGTGGGTCCTCGGGGGGCCTCAGCGTCGACCCCAGAGGTGTCGCATTATTGATGCGAGTGAAAACACTTTACTTGCGATATGAAATAGCCAAGACGTAACCGGGCGCGGGATTCACTATCACTTGCGGAGTTTCATAAAGTAAACGAAAGTTTCTTCCTCTCTGGCTCAAAGCTTTTGCGATTAAATTCAATAGGGTTTTCTTACACGGCGGATCCGGGGTCGAGCCCTGCCCGCTTACACCACGCGTGGAAATGAAAGTGTTATCCCACCACCGCTGCTGCAAACCACGCGAGTGCCATGTTGCGGCAATCCCCAGCAGCCCGCACCGCCGCTCCTCCGCCAGAAGCGCCTCGGGCACAGCCCGGGGGCGGGAGGGCCCGGCAGGCCGGCGGGACGAGCACAGCAGCCCGCGGCCGCCGAGCATCGCCGCGCCCGGGCTAGCAGGGCAAGGGGCCGCTTTTCGCTGCCCGGGTTTCATTTGCAAGACGGTTCTCTCCTGCAGCTGCAGTGTAATGTGAAGAGGATATTAATTAATATTAATACCACCCCCCCACACCCAGATAATTTGCAAAGTTGAGGCGCCGCAATATTTAATGCAGAATAGTGCTGGAAATATTTTTTTCCCCCCTTTGGAGAAGAACGCTGTTGCGAGAAGATTGTTGCCCTTCGCCACTGCCTGCCTAAACGGGACTCGCCTTCTGGGAAGGGCAGATTCCCTTCGGCGCGGAGGATTTCTTTCCCCTCGGGATTCTGGCAGAGTCAGAAAATGACATTTCAGAGCGGCTTCTCCACGAGTTTTCTGCCAAATGCAGCGATAACGAGTGACCCAGGGACGATGCGGCGCCAGTCGCGCTGCTGAGGGGCATTTCGGCTTCCCCGCCGTGCTGTGACTCTGCCCTCGTACCCCTTTTCCTGCACACGCTGATGTCCTCGTCCCAGAGGCTGTCGGTGTCCCACAAGGGCATCTCCCTGCTAGCACCCCCAGCCAGCCCCGAGGACGAGGAAGATGGGCGGCCCGCAGCCAGCAACACGGGACGTCGGGTCCCTCTCTTGTCCCCTCCTGCAGCTGATCCAAACCCCAATCCCGGCTACCGCCCAGGAAAAAGGCGCAGCAGGACCAGGGCCTGGGCTGCAGGAGCTCCCAGCTCCCGGCAACTGAGTCCCGATGGGAGGAATTCCCAGGCTGGAGAGCCGGATACGGCCTTTACGGTCCGTGTGTCGTCCCTAAAAGTGTTCTTCCACCCGGTGTGCAAGAAGCCGACCCACACACACTGCCCTGGGATTGCTATCAGCCGTGAAGCCGGAGGGAAGAAGGTGAGGGGATCTTGCTGCGTCCAGCACTGTGCTGAGCACCGAAGCAGAGCCTCGGCAGCTATGGGCGTCTCCACGCTCCACGGGGCTGCTCGCTCTTTGCCGAGGCTGAGCTCCATCGGGAGATCCCAGGGCCACCGACTTGGCCCTGGCACAGCGGCCATGTCACCGGCCCTGCTGCTGACCACCTGCCCCCACCAGTGCCCTAGGCTTGCTAGTGTTTCTCTTGACAATTTTCTCATCACCGGGGATGAGATTTGAAATATCCCTGCGTGAGGCATTTGTCTTCGGGTGTTTTAGTTCATCTCTGAGCACCTAATAAGGCAGAAAGTGTTCAGCAACGGAGGAGGGAAACATAAGGGCTATGGGAAGCATGGCTTTTTCCTGCTGCTTGGAGGAGACCTGTACATTTGTAACCAAAATGTTTGTAGGAGATGTATGTGATGGAGAAAAGGGTAATGCCAACTCCTCCAGAGAAAGTTTGCTGGCAAGAGGTCCAAGAATAACTGCTGTGAAGGACCCCGTGTGGCTCTGCTGGAGATGCTGCATGGCGACTTTCCACAGCCCTGGACCAGGGCTTCTCTCCATGGCAAAGGTCGATGCTGACCCTGTATCAGGGGAATCACAAGTGTCCTCGGCAGGAGGCTAGGCTGGAAGCTCCCCCTCCAGGTCTGTGCGACATCTACCGAATTTTCTCTTGGCTTTCCAGACCTGGAACCATGGCCTAACCCAGGCGAGTGACCCTTTACCTACCTTTACCACCTGCCAGCACTCCGCAGGGGCAGCATGGAGTGGCCGAGGTGGGGCTTGGGCGCAGATTCATTGATTAGTTACCTTATCTATGAACTCAACAACCTCTCGGCAGTTTGGGAAATTCATCTCAGCTGCATTGTCAAAACATGCAGATCTTTGTCCGACATCTCTCTTACTTCATCCAGAGTTCTGTGAACAGCCTCTTCAGTCTCTGGATGTCATGGTAGGAGCCACATGGTTTCTATCTCCTCCTTCACATATATACAAACACCCTCCACTTATAGTAAGATAGAATGTCACTTAGGGGAAAAAACCAAACTACATGCAGTTGTTCTGCACATTTGAAGGGGTTTTTGTTCTTTGTATGCAGATAATTTAGGATGAAGGCGGGGGCTTCCATGCCATTTGAATAAAGTACCCTTTCTACCTTGTAGTTTTTGACCTATACTTTCCACTAGTGAATTGCGACTATCAAAAGAAAATAATGTATGTATTATAAATCCCAGTCTTGCTAAATATAGTTGCAACCCCAAATACTTGCAATGTTGTGACTCGAAAAATTAATTTAAAATAAGAAAATAACTGCAGTTGAATTATTAATGTATTGGTGTTGCAAATTTACAATCATTTTGTATTTGCACTGTTACACCAACACAGAAAGTACAAAATATGCTATCAAGATCAACTTCCTATATTAATAACAGTACAACTTTCTTTTTAAAAAATACGGGTATTTTCTTCAAGTTAAAAATTTCTCTGCCTATTCCCTTAAATATTTATATGCCTACATGCATAAAATACAGTTTCTTATTTGCAAACAAATCTGAACATTCTCTTCGGAGAAAAAAAATGTGAAAGAGATAGAATTACATTGGGAATATGTAATTTAAATGATAAAAAATATTTTTAGTTTGCCTTTCAGGAATGCTTTTTTAAAAAGTCAGATATACTTTTTGTGCTCGTACTGCCGGTTTGTATTTTCTTTGAATGTACAGATGCTCACGGAATTTCGTCTTTAGGTGTATGTATCTGACTCTATGCAAGCAAGTGCCCGCTCGTTGGGTTAAGGGACAGGTGTTAGGACGTGCAAATTCACTGACAGTGGCGAAAGGAATTTACAGGCTCAGGGCTCTGTACTTGTGCATCGGCGTGGAAAGGCCGAGCGCAGGAAGTGAATGGCGCTTGCTCCAAGGGCCCGGCTGTGTGGGGAAGTCGGACTCCCGCCGTGACACTGAAGGACCGCACGGGCTCTTCTCCGCAAGAGCATCATTCCCCAGCCTCCCCAGGTGACACCCGCCCGACGCCAGCTCAAGGCGACCGCATGAAAACGGCGTGAGCCTCTCCCCTGTGCCCCGCTTTCACAGCGGCAATTTCCCTTCTGCCAGTCCCGCGGGACGCAGCTCTGCTTTTTGCAAAGGAAGGGGACGCAGCGAAGCAATATCGGCTGTGAGCGGGGTAAAATCCGCTATCGCTCGGGGTTTTATCACTTCGGAGAAGCCAGCTTTTTGAAAGGAAAGCTGTACGCTGGATAGTCTCACGTTGCGCACCCCATTCCTCATCTCCCCTCGGAAAGAGGAGCAGCGGGGGTGAGGCATGGGGACCGTTCTGCCTTGCGCAGCTCGGCTCCGCCGGAGAGCAGACCCCTAACCCCGGCTGCGGGGAGCAGAGAGAGCCTCCGGGCCGAGAAATGTCCTCGCTTTCTTTCCCGGCTGTAAGGAGACCGGGGTGCGACAGCCCTTTCCCATTGCACCATCCATAAATAGGGCGTACAGAAATAATAGAGAGATAGGGTTTTGTGTATAAGCACACGTGTATGTGTGTGTGTGTTTCCAGCATTAGTGGACGTTTTTCTGAGAGCCCGATGTGGTTCCTCTCCCGGGAAATTTGCCGGAACAACCAGAGCAGCCTTTGTCCCGGCTCCCGAACTGATGCTCCCCGACTGTGCGCTTAAACCCAACGTGTTTTTTCCTGTTCGTTTATTTTCTCTTGGTGGGCTTTTGGACTCCTTAAACAAGCTGCTGGTAATATTCTTAAATCCCTTCTGGCGTCAGAGGCAAACTTAGCAAGCGCAGGCACTTCTGCCTGTTTTTTCCATCTCCCCTTGAATTTCTGAGGCGGGTGGGAAAGGGGTGGGGGTACGATAATGTGGACAGAGAGGGAGACAGGAACATATTTTCTTGAGTCTGGAGAGTGATACCTCTCCCGGCCAGAGCCTGCAGTCGCTGCAGGAGTGGGCGGCGGCTGCCGGGCCCGGCTGGGGGAGCCCTCCCAGCCCCCGCCGGCTGCAGGGGCAGCTCCGCTCCGCCGGTTTGCCGAGGTGCTGCATGCCTGGAGAGGCTACTGTGCTTCTCCTGGAATATTTCTACACACTGCACGGTAGGAAAACGTGGTCTGCGAGAGAAATGGCTCTGCGCGCACCAGCAGGAAAGGAATGCAGGTACATCTTTGTTCCTTAGGGAAATTTAGTTTTATTCTCTTGCTAGGCTGATTTTAGGAGTGATTAACGATTTGTAGCAATACTTGTCCCTTCCTCCTGATCAGAGATCTCTCTGGGAGCAGTCACCAGCCTCCAAAACGGGTCGGACCTCGATTCCCCCCGGACGTCCCGGAGTAGAGGTGTGACACCCAGCTGCCGTGGTTTTTTTGTTTGGGGTGATTTTTTGGTTTTTTGTTGTGGTTTTTTGTTTGTTTTTGGGTTTTTTTTGTTTTGTGGGGTTTTTTTTGGTTTTTTTTTTGTTTTTTTTTTTTTTTTTTTTTTTTTTTTTTAACAGGTCTTGGGAAAGCACTCCTAGGGGAGAAGGAAACAGGTAATGGAAACGCCTTCTCCAGGCTTTGAATCGCGGTCAGTACGCCTGCCCCATCCAAACCAGGATGCTGCAAGCCTTTGGCCCACCAGGCAGCCTCTGGGTCCCGCCCAGAGCAGGGACAAAGGGTGGTCCCATTGTCTAGAGGTGGCTGCAGCAGCACCAGATCCCTACAGCTCCCACAGCCACAGCTGTAGCATTCCCCTTCTGTCTGCCAGCCATCCTCTTAAAGTGCAACTTCACATTTAAAATTGAGAAGCATCTCAGCAGCTGCTCTCAGATTGCCCTGAGCTGTGGTTGGAATAACTGGGGAGGAAGAAATTCTCTGAGTTTAATTGTGCTGGGAATTTTCCACTTTCTTTTCACTGGCAGAAACTGGTTTTTCTCCCTTGGAAAGTATTTCAGGCCTCTGTATGATTAAATTAATCTGCATCATTTGTGATGGGACATTGCAGTGACAGAGAATAAGACTGTGACTTTCTGGTGGGTCATGGCAAGGCTGCAGGCATTGTAATGCAGAGAGTATTCATACACCAGAGGGCTCTTTCTCACTGACTCCTGTCCTGTGTCCCCTCTCTCTGTGGAGGTAATACTGGGCTGAGGACATTGTTTATATCTCCCTTGTATGGTGGAGTCAACCACACAATATTTGAGAATAACTAGTAAGTTGTTAGAGACAGATTCAAGCCTCATTCATCTGGTGTATGGTGCCATCTGCTTGAAAGAAGGCAAATACTGTGTTGATAGTGGTGGAAATGATGGTGATTCCCTTATTTGCTGTAACACAAGACCAAAGGAAACAAGATCAATACACTCCCAAGGAGCAGGTTAGCTCTCACTGACAGCAGGTTTTTCTTTTTTCATTCTTCCCTCTGCCAGTCCCTGGATTATAGTTTTAACTTTCTGATTGCCCTCTTTCTCTGGTATCAATATTGCACTTGAATGAGATCACTTACAACCAAACCAGGGCTCCTCTGCTAATGCTAGTCTCTGTCCTTCAAGCCCATTTTTACTTTACCAGCCCTCCAATACTATGGAAGTCCTGTAGTCCTTCCTGAGACCCAATGAGTCACCTCGTGAAGCACTTAAGAAATCTCTGTTTTTTTTTGTTCTTTCTTCAGGTCATATTTGTCTCCCTGCAAAGATGCAAACCTGAAAACATTTGCACTGATCCACTGGGCAACAGTCCCTTCAAGCTGATCACAGTGCATGGAAAGAAGAAGCCCTCCCAGACAAACTAGTATGTTAAAGCCACCAAGGTGATTTACTGTGCCCAGCTGTCGCAGAAGGCAGCCTTCCCTGCACTGCCAAGGGAGTGTAGAAGCTGTCTGGCATTTCATGCATGATACCTAACACTAGCACAGTCAAGCCCAGGTTTCCAGGTATGTTCTTTCTGGGCTTAATTCTACCATCATGTGCCAGAGCAAGTAGTATCTTATTCATCAGTAAATTTCACTCAGTCTTAGTCAGGGAGATGGAATTGGTCCTACAAGAGCAAAAATAGCTTTTTACTTGCATCCTTTCCAACACTCCCTACACGACCTTCCCACCACAATAGCAAACAGAAGCTCCCAGAAAGCAGCAGCAAGTTCAGAGAGATATGGCTCCTCACCAGTTTGAATTTTACCAGGTGGTGTTTGCTTTAAGACCTTGAGCTATAATATACCCATGCTAGTATTGAACTCCTGGGAAGACATGAACCCTTCAATGCAATGGAGAATTAAATAGTTTTAAACATACTTATCTAATGAATACCAGTACTGACTTTTGTGCATGCTGCTTCTAACATGAATCTACCTAGTCTCTGCTTTCAGAGACCAAATACTAAAATGACTTATCTTCTAGACAAGAAGTCCCTATGTTTGATAACGGGAGTGGATTACAATCTCTCCCACTCTCCCTGTTACCCTTCCTTCTGTTCCTGCACTTAAATCTGGACATGTATGGACAGGAAGAGGTTTTGTGCCTACCAGCAGCTACAATACTTGTGTGAGTTCTTCAGCCTGGTGCATGGTGATCAAGTCAGGCTGTGGGTTAACAGCTGAGGAACTGGGCACTGCACCTCAGTACCAGCCTGCTCTGGGTGCAAGGGCTCATCTCAGGTCTTTCTGAAATACTTCTCTGACTTTTTATTCTCTTTCATTTAGGTCACATCCAACTCCATATTGCAAGGTGCTGAGTAACAGCTTATGATCCCTATCAAGTAATGGCTCCAGGGTTTGTTTACCAACATCCACTGGAGACTCCAGCTTTTCTGTAGAAACAGAAACCGAGCCCAGGCTTATCCAGGTATCAAGCTGTCACATTCCTTGGGGCCTGTAGAGCAAACTGGCCTTTGTGAAGAATGTTTACCATGACTGCAAGGCAGCTGTGTTTAGAGAGTGGTTTCAAGAAAGTCGAGAAATAACCAGTAGGATTTCCATAAAAGATTTATACCTATTTTAAAGGGAAGAACAACTGTTCATCAACTGGAGCTTTGCATCCATCACGGTGAAACAGCAGTGGTGAGACTCAGTTAGACAAGGATGCAGGGAAGTCCTCAAGGTCAGCAGAGGTCTAGCCCAGGTTTTAATTTATCAATTATTTCAGGATCTGTTCCTGAAACATTAATAGATAATTGGTCTAGTCCTGATCTCTGTGCCCCTGCAAACTATTCTCTCCCAGTTTTAGGTTTTTAGAACCTTTCAGCTTTAGGTTCTTACTGTATGAGCATTGTGCCTGCAGCCTTTTTGACTTTTTGCAGCTTCCAGCTTACCAGCTGTGGAAAGATATGCTGTCAGATTTAGGATACAGGAGAGAGCTAGTCACAGAGGCTTCTCCCAGCTTCAGGACAGGAGTAAATTTTGCTATAAGCAGTATCCTGTGTGTAAGGAATTCTGCCCATTTTCTTGTAAACTGCAGCACCTTTCCACCCCAAATATCTCCTTTTCCATGCCCCCAAGTACCTGATGGAACCAAGCATAGCACATAAAAGAGGATTTAGCAAACCATGAGGAAGCTTACTAAGGATGTGTCTGGAGGATGATTTTTTCTTCCCTACAAAGACATTGTAGGAAAATGCCTCCTTTGGGGGAACATTTTAAAGCTTAAATTAATCACCTCCTTTCAGAGTTGAAACTCTTTTCATCTCCTGTAATTGACTCAAGATTTAAAAATTTTCCAGACAAAAAGTTTCAGAAATTTTAATGTATGAATTCTTAATATTTCTACTAAATCCTTTGCTTGTTTCCTTCTATTTTAACATAATTGACAATGAAGAGATTCTTGTTTCACTATGACCTTATTATCTATTTTTGCTGTTGACATATTTATGACTAAAACCTGAAGTAATCATTACAGTAAGACTAGTAGAACTGCAAAAATTATATTTACTACCCAAATGAAATACCCAAATATAACAATAAATAAATTAAGTAACTCAGATAAAAGATTTATTTTCTCTGTATGAATGTAAAGTGCAATATTTTAGAGACTGTAGGGCCAAGTTTTGCCTTACGATTCACCTGCTGTGTGTTCCAGAGCGGGTAGGAGCTACCAAAAAGTATGAAAGAGGATTTATACTGTACAACAGATGACAACTGTCTTGTAAGCCCAAACTCTCACAGCTTATGCCTTCACTCTGAAGTTCCTTGAGACAGTTATTTGATTTATGAAAGTCCAGTTGGTAGCTGGCAAACACATACATGCAAAGAAGCCGCAGAAGCCAGCAGCAGCCAAACACAGGCATCTGAAGGCAGAATTTTCTTTATGAAGCAAAACTGGAAATAATTCAATAGTACTCCCTTACCCCTCCCACAATGTCCCAGCACCCCCCTGCTGCTCTATCCGCTAAGTAACTGCAGTTCAGGATGTGGAAGGGAGGAAAATCAGTCCCCAGCTGTTTCTGCAGGGTTTCACTAGGAGGAGCCATACGATGTGTAATGAATGTGCAGAGCTGTTTGCAATTAGTGTACATCCGAACTGCTCCCAGGGCAGCATTTCTGCTACTGCCATTTATCTTTGTAATAAATACTTTTCAAATAGATCAGAAGGTAAAATTAACACAAATTACCGTGATCCTTTGGTTTCTCAGTATGCTATTTTTATAGACTTCATTCTGCCACCAAGAGGACAGTAACTCTAATTACCACATCACATACACCTTATGTAGCACCGCAGTATTTTGTAAAATGTTTCTACATCTTCCTCTATATTTAGTACAACTGTGAGCACAACTGCCATGATCCTACCTAATTATTCACCTGCAGTAGAAACAATTATCAATAATAACATTATGGTCAGTCAAGAGTGGGAGGATGACTTATCACTTGAGTTCCACAGTTCATCCCTAGGGTAAGTAAATCAAAGGTACTGAAAGTGGCACAGACTAACCCTATTCCACGTTAGAAAACACAGGGGAAATAAAGAATGAATAATGAGGGGGACTGCCTTTGGAAGGGCATTTACCCTACTGTTACCACCATGTTCCTTCAGGAAACCCAAAAGTCCACGTGGGCACATCCATAGAGAAGACAGCCACAGCTCAGCCTCCTGTTCTACCTCTTGGACTGCTGTGTCCCTCTGAGGTGAGTAATGCTGCATGTCTCCTTCTAGGTGCAGGGGTACAGGTCTGTACCTCCTTCCCACTTCTGATGAGAATTGTTTCCCCAGGCAATGCTTACCACTTTTCCCAGCCAGTAAACTCCTGAAGGCTCATGACAGATGGGTGGCAGTACCACATGCAGGAAGAACAGCAGTCAGTAACTCTAACCTGGCAGGGCACACGGCTTCCAATGTCCCAGAGCCTCAAGGTGTCTGCTACACTCTTCAGAGAGTGGAGGGAAGCTCTGCTGTTGGAGTGATTCCCAGTGATGGTGAAGGGGCATTTACTTGTGTGAGCTGGAACTGTGTGAGTAGCTGACCCCAGGGGGGACCAACAGACATCAGCATCAGGAGCCTTTGCTGGGTCACCTTCACCCATAAGAGGCCTGGAAGGGCCAGTGAGTTACCCACCAGAGTTATTCCACTTTTTTTTCTGTTATAAGAACCACAGGTGAGTTGTTCAAAATCCCTAAGTGTTTACTTTTCATTTCTGTACTGTATGAGAGAGTCCACACTACATAAAGATGTAAGAAAACAAAAAAATAAATATCCCATTTGCATATTTCCAGTGCACACAAAGGCATTAAGTTTCTTGCAAAATTAGAAGAAGTCACATATGTGATTCTTGGAGTACTTTTTAAGGAAATAAATTGCAGATTTTTTTCAAAAGTTTAAACATTCTCCTTACAGTGTGTTGCTTGCAAATGCAGGCTGGGGGCTTAGATGTCTCCCTGGTTAAATCTACTGTATTATTTCTGTTTTCAGACAGACTCCATTGAGATCTCTGTGAAAAGAATGATGTGACTTACCAGTATCATACAAGATGTTCCAAGAATATCAGCAAGGCACTGGAATATGGCAAGGGGACTGGGGACTTTCCTGAGAAGGTTGTACCCAGTGATGGAAAATATATTTGTGTTCTTACTTTAGCACAAGTGTCTTCTATAATGCTAAGGTTTGCTTTCAAATAAAACATAAATTGCACATCTGGTTGGAAGAAATAAATGCAATAGTGCTTCAAAGACTATCTGTCAGGCTTAAAAAGCAAAGAGATGAGGATTTATTGGTGTTTTTATTATTAACATAAAAGCCTTGGGACCTCAGTAGGCCAGGGTTATAGGTAAATATGGGTTCTATTTTCTTCTTTGTTCGCCTTAGCATATTATTAGCATCAAGCTAAAAAAGGATCATCTGAATGTTAATGTGTTTATTATGTGCACATCGGTGCTAGCTTAATCAATACACAGATGTAGAAGACTGTAGAGAAAAATATGAGCTACAACTATATTCATCATCTTAATCATTTCAGACAGCATCTTCATTCTGGAGATATTATTTGCTTAAGAAATCCCACTCTTGTACTTTCACAGTCTTTCAAGGCTTTTGTGAAGCAGCAATGGGCTGCTTCCGTGCAAAGGCTTGGAATGGACATCTATTTGCAAGTGAACAAGCAATGAAGGAAGTGAGAGTTTCTAAAATAGATTACTTATAAAATTAAAATTTTAGGAAGCTTGGGTAAAAATAACATGTCCAAATCAGCAAGTATGGGGTGGCTTGAAGACATACACATTAGATTTCCTGCCTAAGCTGCTGGTGACTTCAGCCTCCTTTCCAGGAGAAAATTAGCCTATGCAATGCTGTTAAAGCCTTGCATGAGTCACTCCAAAGTGTTGGAGGGGGCTGTACAAACCCTGGTCCCCACTTCTCCCAAAAATTGTCTTCAAGAGGTTCAATTTTGATGTGTCAGGACTGGGTTGAATCTTTCATAGGATTTAAATCAAATCCTTGGCAACCACTCTTCTGATTTTATAACAAAATCTGACCTATGTGTTAAAGTGAGGACATTGTTTTGCTGGGTTATTGCTTAATTACTAAATGAAGAAATATTAAGTACAAATTTAATGACTCATACAATATTTCCAAATGGCTCGTACTATAAAGTCCCATTTACATCTACCACACTGGTGTTTAATTCACTTTCCATTATTCCTGAGGCTATTAATGTCAGTAATTACAGCAGGTAACATGTCTAATATTGAGTGTATTGTGGAATAAAGCAATGTTGAGCTCCTGCAGTGTGTTTTATATTAAGTACAAAAAGCTTCTGATACAGTTAATGTAACTATAAATCTTAACTCAAATGCTTATATGTCTCGTTTATGACCTGAATAAACTCTGAGGCAGAAGCAGGGCAGCTGAATAGCCGCTCGCTGCCAAACCACATATTCAGTGGAATATGCACTTACAATATCCTTTTCATATTGAATAATAACAGAAAGACAGAAAACAGGCCGAGTATTTTCTCTAAATTAAGTTGGGTTTCTTTCCAGAACACTGAGTTTAATGGTAAAAAAATCCCTAAATACACACGAACCTTAAAATCACAAATATATAAATAGAATATAAAACTCAAAATAGTGTGGAGGATTTTTTCAGTGGAAATCCAGTCTATGCTTATGATAAGAGCTGCTCTGCAGGGTTTGATGTGTTAAATATTGAACATCCTGCCACTTGGAGAATGCACGTTGCTCTGTCCCTTTGGGGAGGCTGCTGGATTGGCCTGGGTGTGGAGGTGGCCAGAAATCACAGTCACCTCAGGAAGAGCTGGCATTCACTGTCTGTGTGAGCTGCCAAAGGAAAACTGGGCAAACCTTTGGAAGCCTTTTGGAAGGCTGTGCTGTAGGTGACTGATAAGATGATTTGGTCTGAGTTTGAGCTCACTTGCACGCACTGTTACAACCCCTGAGGAGGAATAATGTGTGCTGGGAACAAGGTAAGCACCACTTAAAATCCTGTCAGGGCTCTGACTTCCAGTGTCAGCCCTTATGTGCTGTAGCACTCCTGTGTCTCCAAACATCAGCACACACTTGGTGAGGCTTCAGCCCTGGTGCCTGCACTGTGAGGGTGGCTGTGGCGTGGGAGCCTGCAGGATGAAACAGGGAGGGAAATAATTGGATCCACAAAAAATAAGATTTAGGTGCAAGTTGCACTAGAGATCACAAAATTAGGCTCAGAGAGACATCAACTACCAGCAAGCAGAAGCCCTACTTCAATCAATTTCCACTGAAATAAATTCCTTTGGATGGGAAGTTCTCCTTAAAGACCTTTGGTACAGTATGACCCTTTAATATTAAGCATGTCAACATTTAAATTGATGATGCTATTTTTTGTAGAGCTATTTACAAGGAGAGTATTTCCCTCTGAATTTGTAATAAATCATGTAAGACATCTTTTCATTCCATTTCCCTTTAGAAAGAAATATTTGGTAGTTTAAAATATTTAATGTAGTGGAAAATCTAAAGGGAAAAATAAAGCATCAATAGACTATTTCAGCAGCAGAAACCATTTGGGACCTGCTTAACCACCTAAGCTCTTCTCCAAATTTATTTGGAAAGGGGCATATAAAGAGCTCATCACTTTCCATCTCCATTTTCATATGTGCAGCACATGCAATAGTTTAGCTCTGTACTCACACTCAGAGCTGATCTTGATGGTGAGCTGAAGTAACTTGAGATCACCATTTCTTTCTCCTTATGACAGTTCTGGAACATTTGGTTGACTAATTACCTTGTTACTAGTCAGATTTTTTTTTTTAATATTTGACTTTATTTATGAATGTACATGCACAAGAAGGATAGGAGCCACACACACAAGGTACCATTTTAAACCAGAGGATTATTATACCACCATGCTTTCCCTGTGCTTCTGATAGGAAAACTACACAGGCAAGATGAAATTTTCCTCCTGCACAGTACTTCACCCTGTCACTTGCTCAGTACAAACCAAACCCAAAGACTGACACAAAGGTGTGACCAAGGTGTTCCTCAGTTAAGTGCAAATCTTCCCCTGGTTTCAAGGGTTGATGGGCTAAACTTTAAACATGGAGATAATGAAGCATAAGGCCCATAGTATGGGCTGTCTCTGTTTCTGTATCAGTGTCTTTGTACAGATATATACATAAATATATAATATATACATATTTACTTACCACTTGTCTTGAAGATAAAAGTTTTTTGCTGTACCCAGACATTAACACATTACTTTTAAAAGCTGAACCCCATAAACAGCAGCATGTAATTTCTCCCCATACCCTTATTTCTATTTATTTCCATCAGTGCCTGGCTTAGCAGAGCCTTGCATTCTTCAGAGCTCAAAAAGAAATCCAGGCAGTGACCCCACCTCTCAGGCCTCTATTGCAGACCCCTGCTGAAACCCTGGTGAAAAGCTACACAACACTGAATCACAGCATCAGTGTCAACACTACATACAGAGGCATTTATTCAGCCAGAGAAAATTATGTTCCCTGAAAAACTGATTGCTGGCTTCTATAGGGCTGAGTCACATTAATCTGACAGACTGCTTCCAGAAAGAGCAGCATAGCTATAAGGATGAAAAATGTCTCAATTACTTATAGTAAAAATGTAAGTGGACATCCTGAAGGGATGTAATTAAAAAAAAAAAAACTGTAGTAAGGAGGGGAGACATGCTAGATGATGACAGGTGGTTTTATCCCAGTGGAAGGTAATTTACTTCAGCACTTCTTGGGGGGCTCTGTGGCTGCAGGAGGACTAAAGTAGAAGAGGATGGTGAGAGAGAAATACAGATCAGGTATCAAAAGGGACAAGGAAACGGGTAAAGCTTTGAAAGTTCACACATGGTCAGAAACCTGGAGCTAAGAAGCAGAATTCAGGAGGTGGAAAGATGGGTGTGGAGACCCAGGGGGATTGAGACTTAAAATCCACATGGGAGAAACCAGCACCTTCAGTTAAGAGGCTGACAGAAAGAATTGGCAATTGAGACTGGCTGGAGACAGGAACAGCAGTGGCTGAACCAACTACCCAGATATGAGGAAGGAACAGGGACGGGAGACACAGATGGTTAGAGGGGAGTAAGACAGAGCTAGAGGAGGAAAATGTTTTAGACACTATAGCCCATTCACTGGTCATTGCAGGGCAGAAAATGGATTATGAGAACCTTGG